TTTTTAATAAAAAGTTTAAAAGAGAAATACGATAAATTATCTTAGAGAGAGGGAGTAAGTACCTGTAAAATGTAGAGGGAAAAGGTGCCAATGCCTATCCATGAATGAAAGCTATACAAGTTTCTCAAACCACTTCTATCATGGTACTTAAATGCAGCATGTAATCCAACAATTCCCAAAATAATTGCACATAAATGAAGTAAAAAATGTGCAATTTTTTGTACTTTCTTCTCTGCTCTCACTGTCATATATACCATAAGTGCTGTACATACAAAAATAAAATAAAAATTAACATTCAAAATGAAGTAATTAAAAAAAAATAGAAGTTATTCATGTACTATATTGTAACATACTCCAATTATTTGATTAATCGAGTATGAGTTTAAGAAAGATAATAAAGAATTCTGATATTTGTGGTTCTGGATATGATCATTTGTACAACGATTTTTTAAAATTTGTGAGTTGTGACATTAAACATGTTATAATATTTGTGTAATTATAAGACTAAACTTGTCATTACGTGTAAAATGAGAAGCATAAAATTAGTTATTTTTAAATTTAGAAATAGTTACTATTAAATTTGGAAACGCTCTTCTAATTTTACATTCGAGGGAAGATCTTATTATAGAAATATATAAACTCATACCTTTGAAAGTTCCAATTTTTTTTCCCTTAAAACTTCGTACCTATTAAAACTTTGTTACATAAATTGAGTCAAAAGGATTAATGATTGCAACATAATTATTCATACACTATTTTCTACAACTTACCTATTTTGAAATGAGTTTTACTTGCATATTTACCGTTATTAACTAAATTATTTTACATTATCAGATTAAGATGACTTATAACATCGTACAAACTTAATATATATGATATAAATTATAGTAAATTTTTTATAACATACTATGAATATCGATAGTGCATACCTTGACCAGACAAGAAAACCAACCCCAAGAACATCAAGAGTGGGTGGACCTGCAGAAAGTTACAATAACATTTAATAATACATTTAATTAAAAATTAAATTTCAATTTATTAAAATCAAGGTACATATATATACACTATAGTATATACTTACATTTCAAAAGAAAAATTTAAAAGGGGAAATGGGAAGGGGACTTGAACTCTTACCATCAATAAGGTAAACATTCAGATAATTAACCAATAAAACTGTTAAATTTTATTTTAGCATATACTTACATTAAAAATTTTATTAGGATCGTATGAATCGAGATCAACTCCTCCACGATAATGCAACAACCAAACAAGCATAAGAATCGCAGCTATAAAGCCAAAAATGTAAGCAAAAATTGTTATCCTTGAAGCTGGTCGATAGTATTGGTGCGTTACAATGGTATCCATGGCTTTTAATTAATTAGAGGAAAAAAGAATTATCAACAAATGTAATTGTGGATGAAGAAAAAAGAATGAGAAAAATTTAGTTAAATTTTTGTTGTATATTTTGTTTTTAGTTTGATATTTTTAGCATATGATTTAATCACTATATATATATATATAGAAAGTTTGCATATGAATATACTTTGTTAAAGGTATTTTAATTTGTCTTTCTTATAGT